TGTGCAGCATGACAGAGGAGCTGACAGAGAGCAGAGCTATGACAGAAAACTTGAAATACAAGTGACTTCCATTTTAGTCTAGAGGTTCAATTGGACAGGAGTTCAATCCTACTAAATTATGTAGATAGTCCAGTTTTAGGCTCTTCTGGAAGCTGCACTGCGCCATGGCTGACCCAGCAGAGCCTCACTAAACCAACCAATCAGTTGTAGCAACATGGCTGTCTCTTTTCACTGTAGGTTGTTGTTTTTAAAATTATTTTTATCACATGCATGGTATTTGACATGCGTTCTGCTCACTAACAATCCCTCTCTGTGACACACATGCGCACATGCGCACACACACACACACGCACACACCATAGCACTGCAGCCAAAGCCCACTCCAACTTTAACCACAGCTCCATGACATGTTTATGTATCCATTTTCCATCACTTATCTGGCAGTACTGGAGCCGACTCTGTAGTTGGACTTGGAACAAACAGGCTTATTGAGCTTTCAGACTTGGGCTCAGGTGGAGTCCTCCAGCTACAATGTTTCCATTAACCTACAGATGTTTTGTTATTGTGCTTTTACCCTGAAGCTAAATATAACAGGGTCTGCTACTCAGTAGATTAAATCCAAATAAGAGATAAGTAGAGCCATGTGAAGGAATTCTCAGACTTGATGCCTCCAGCTGTTTGAAGCAAATAGTAAATGGTAATCGGACTGTACTTATATAGCAGCTTTCTATCTTATCGAGATACTCAAAGCTCTTTACACTACAATCTGTGCCTCATTTATCCATTCATACGGCACTCTGCTAGATCCATCCATCCATCCATCCATTATCTTTACCCGTTTATTCCATTTTGGGTCACGGGGGTCGCTGGTGCCCATGTCCAGCAATCACTGTGCGAGGGGCGGGGTACACCCTGGATGGGTCGCAAGTCCATCACAGGGCCACATAGAGACAAACGAGACAAACAACCATTCACTCTCTCACTCACACCTAGGGCCAATTTAGAGTTACCAATCAGCCTAACATGCATGTTTTTAGACTGTGGGAGGAAACAGGAGTACCCGGAGAAAACCCACGCATGCACGGAGAGAACATACAAACTCCACCCAGAAAGGCCCCTGGACCGGGGTTTGAACCAGGGACCTGCTCGTTGAGAGGCAGCAGCTCTACCAGTTGCGCCACCGTGCTGCCCACTCTGCTAGATCCCTACAAAGCTAATTGAACAAATAATTCTAAAGAGACTAATCAGTGCTTTATCACATTCATACACCAATGGGACACACATCGGAGGCAATGAGGGTTCAGTGTCTTGCCCAGGGACACTTTGGTATATGACTGCTGGTGGATTTGAACCCCCAACTCTTGCATTGAAGGACGACTGCTCTAACCACTCAGCCACAGCCGCCCCAAACAGTGAACAGGAAGGCAGAAATTTGTCAACTTTTTTTTTTTAATCACGAGAATCAGTTTTTTAAATCAGTTTTTTAATTATTTTTTTTTATTTTTAACATACGAACAGAAAATTAAAAAGAGAACACAAAGAACAACAACCCTTCCCACACCAGATCTGTCAAATATACATAAACAAATTAAACAGGTACTGACATATTTTCCACATACAACATAAAAGGCTACTAAGTGTCCCTAAATCTTTCCCCAGAACCCTTCAGGATATGTCTAATTTTTTCCACATGGATATGATACATCACCAGTGTACATATGGTTAGGGGTGTGGGTCTTTCCAATTGCACAAAACCAGTCTTTTGGCCAGAAGAGAGCCAAAAACAATCACATCCTTCTTGTACTTGCTGAAGGAGGTATCCACAGGGACTACCCTGAACAGTGAGATGAGCGGTGATGGGTGCACAGTTTTTCCACATATGGTAAATGGTAAATGGACTGTACTTATAGAGCCTTTCTATCTTATTGAGATACTCAAAGCACTTTACACTACAATCTGTGTCCTCATTTACCCATTAATACAGCACTCGACTATATTTTTACAAAGAACAATCAGTGCTTTATCACATTCATACACCGATGAGACACACATTGGAGGCAATGTGGGGTTCAGTGTCTTGCCCAGGGACACTTTGGCATGTGACTGCTGGTGGAATCGAACCCCCAATTCTCACATTGGAGGACGACTGCTCTAACCACTCAGCCACAGCTGCCCCATATCCCAGAGAAAGTGCCAAAAATAGATTGCCAAAAACTCTGCAGTTTGGGACAGGCCCACAATGTATGCAAGAGTGTAACTGGAGTTTGTTTGCCACAATTACATGCAGGGTCCAGGTTGGCTTTGATCTTGGACAGCTTGTCTTTGGACCATTGCAACCGGTGCACCAACTTGAATTGAATTATAGCATGTCTCAGACAGACAGAAGATGAATAAATATTCTTAATCATAATGCACCAGATTTTGTCTGATATGGATTCCTCCAAGTCTGTTTCCCATTTCAGTTTAAGAGTGTCCAAACTGGGTCTCATGGTATGAACTGAGCAGCATACAGATCTTGCTGAGGGCCCCCTTTGTATCAGACCTGCATTCCAAAATCTTAACCACAAATTGTTTAGAGGGGTACAAAGGAAAATAATCAAATGTCTCAGCTGCAGATATCTGAAAAACTGTGACTTGTGGATATTAAACTTCTGTACCAGCTGCTCAAAAGAGGCAAATCTACTATTATCATAGAGATAACACAGTGAATGCACTCCCCTCAAGACTTTAACACTGAAGGAGGTTTTCCCAAATTGCCATGATTGTTATTCAGTGTGAAGGTGGTCTTACATGCCATCACTGTGTTCATCCTATTTTCAAACGTTAATCTAAGTGAGATTTATCTTTTTGTATGCCTACTCCTGAACTTTTCTGCTGCTGGTGTTTCTCCTCAGGGACTGTGACATCAGTCAGATTAATTACCTGTACGCTCATTACGTTAAAAACACCATGCTGCCTCTGAACATTGCTGATGTCACCAAGGACCAGCGCTTCACCTGGATGGTCTGTACTCTGTGCGTCTTTTCTTTTCTTTTTCTTTTCCGTTTAGTAATCAGTCCTCCTTTCATCTGACAGGGTGAAAACCCAGGTGACACCATTTACAAGATTAAAAGTCTTCTCTGCACACCCATCAGGAATGGAAAAAAGGACAAAGTCATAGGTGAGGACCTTCAAGTTCATTTTGGACTTTTTTTTTCTTATTTCAACTTTTAAAACTACTTGAAATCATAATCATTGCCCACAGCCTTAGGTAACACAAAAACAACTAGAACATGATGAGATGTTGAGCTAAAATTTGGTGTGGTAGCAGCTGTCAGTCGTTCAGTAGATATATTCCAAACACTAGATGTTTGAACAATCTTAATTTATTGTCATTTAGTCCTGCCACTGTACCCATCAGAGGTTGTGATCAACATATTGAGCTGTTATTTGCTCCAGTAGTTGGCTGAGGGTGGATATTGTGAGTTGATCAAACAGATCACAATCTCATGGCCTCTCCTCCGGCTCTTTAAGCATTGCTGAGCCAGATCAAAAGCTCAGGTTCACTTAATTACAATGAATTGTTCTGTAACAAATTAATGCACACCAGTCCGTGTTGTGCTTCATTAAAACATCATTAGCATCCAAGATGTAACATAATTAAGTCTTTGTAAGGAACAGATTGTTGTCCAGGCATTGGCATTGGGGGGGGTGGGGGGGGGGGGTGGGGCACTTTGAAAAATCAGTAGATGCCATTTCCTGCATTCCGGTGTGTTTTTAACGGGTTGTTAAAATGTACGTTTACCTACATAATTTACATATGTTTACCTACGAATGGATGAGAATAGAAGCGGATTTGCCACGAAATATAGTAGAAATCAGCAACAAACTCAGAACTACGCTCGGCAGAATTCAGATCTTAAAGTCATCTACCTGGAAGCTGCAACAGAGGCGTTCCAATGGGCAGAAGAAGCGCTGCTCCCGGCTTAAGAGGAGAGGACACCGAGCGGGAGTTATGGTGAGGCTACGATCTAACGCCCAAGCCGGAAAACTCCCGATGCGGTCTCTCTTTCTGTCGAACGTCCACTCGTTGGACAACAAGATGGATTTGCTTTTTCTGAGAGCGGGCGCCTCGGAGGAGATGAGGAAATGTGCGGTGCTTTGCCTCACGGAAACATGGATTACAAGTGAAACGCCGGATACAGTCTTCCAGCTGGATGACAGACTCTTTTTTCGAGTGGACCGCTGTAGCAAGCTAACAGGGAAATCATGGGGAGGCGGAGTGTGCATTTACGTGAGTAAAAGTTGGTGCATGAACTGTACTGTTTTAAAAAGCTCATGCTCGAATGCTTTGGAGCAAATAACAGTGAAGTGTCGGCCACATTATCTACCCCGCAAGTTCACAGTGACTTTCATCACAGTTGTTTACATTCCTCCGGATGCTAATGCTAATGACACCTTGCAGGAACTGAATGATATAATCAGCTCGCTGCAGAACAAACACCCTGAGGCTCATTACGTGGTTGCCGGAGACTTTAATCACGTGAATCTAAAGGACTGTCTCCCAGACTTTTACCAGCATGTGGGCATACCAACACGTAGAAACAACACGCTGGACCATGTTTACACGAACGTAAAAAATGCATACAAAGCCGAACCCCGTCCCCACCTAGGATTTTCTGATCACATCTCAAACTTAATGGTCCCTGCTTACCACCCCCCACTGAGACGCTCCAGACCGGTACAAAAGAAAGTTAAATGTTGGATCCAGGACAGTGGCTCCATACTGAGAGATTGTTTTGATCAAACAAACTGGCAGATTTTCAGAGAAGCTACTGAAAATGGAGGTTTGCTTGATTTGGACCAATATGCATCCTTAGTTCTGGGTTACATTAGTACTGACACCGTATCCACCATCAGATATGTTAAAAGCTACCCAAACAGAAAACCTTGGCTGAATGCAGATGTGTGCACCCTGCTGGAAGCCAGAAACACTGCCTTCAGGTCTGGAAACTCAGAGGAGCTAGGTAGAACAAGAAAAGAGCTGGTTGCTGGTATTACGAGGGCCAAAGCCACATATGCACAGAGGATCAAGGGTCAATTCACCTCACAAGACCCCCGGAGCATGTGGAGGGGCATTAAGTGCATAACAGATTACAAAGGAAGGAGCGAACAATGCCCCAAAGACCCATCTCTGCCTGATGCCCTCAACAAGTTCTATGTACGCTTTGAAGACCCGAACAGACCACACAGCACCAGACTCACCTCAACACCGGATGAAGAGTATCTCAGTGTGACCTCAGCAGAAGCAAGGAGTACTTTCAGGAGGATTAATCTGCATAAGGCAACCGGCCCAGACAACATCCCTGGAAAAGTGTTGAAAGAATGTGCCGATCAGCTCTGCGTGGTGCTGGCAGTCATCTTTAACACCTCACTTACCCTGGAGACAGTTCCCACCTGCCTGAAGACTGTCACCATCATCCCAGTCCAAAAAGCTCTACAGTGACTGGTTTGAATGACTATCGGCCAGTGGCCCTCACCCCGATAGTCGCTAAATGCTTCGAAAAACTGGTCATGACCGACATCATACCAACTATCAACATCAACGAGGACCTTCATCAGTATGCATACCGTGAGAACCGATCAACAGAGGATGCCATCTTCTCTGTGGTCCACACTGCTCTCACTCACCTGGACCAGAAGTATCCGTATGCTCTTTGTGGACTTCACATCAACCTTAAACACCATGATCCAACAAACCCTAATGGAAAACCTATTCACACTAGGATTCAACCCATCTATTTGCAACTGGGTACTAAAGTTCTTAACAACCAGACCACAGTTAGTGAGGATCCACAACTTCTCCTCCTCCACCATAACCCTCAGCACAGACTCTCCTTCCTGTTTACTCTGCTCACATATGATTGTGCAGCTACCCATTCAGGCTGTCAAATTGTAAAGTTTGCAGATGATACAGCGGTGGTGGGATGCATTACAAACAATGATGAGTCCAGCTACAGGCAGGAGGTGGAACACCTGGATAGCTGGTGCAAAGAGAATAACCTTCACATCAATGTGAAGAAGACAAAGGAGATGATTGTGGACTTCAGAAGGAAAAAACACACCTACACCCCCCCTGAACATAAGAGGATCTGTGGTGGAAGTGGTCTCCAGCTACAAGTACTCGGGTGTACACATGAATGACAACCTCAGCTGGGGCAACAACACCACCAGCCTGATCAAGAAAGCTCATCAGCGACTCTACTTCCTCAGATGGCTGAGAAGAGCTGGTCTGGGAAGCTCAGTCCTCACCTCCTACAGGTGTGCAGTGGAGAGTATCCTGTGCTCCAGCATCAACGTGTGGCATGGAGGCTGCACAGCTGCAGAAAGAAAAGTTTTGCAGAGAGTGGTAAAGGCTGCACAGAAGACTGTTGGAGTCAGCCTCCCCACCATCACAGACATTTACACCTCCAGTTGCAGGAAGAAGGCCACCTGCATCATGAAGGACCCCACTCACCCAGCACATACACTTTTTGCCCCGCTCCCCTTAGGAAGGAGGTTAAGGAGCATTAAGTGTACAATGGTAAATGGTAGATGAACTGTACTTATATAGCGCCTTCATATCTCATTTCAAGATACCCAAAGCGCTTTACACTACAATCTGTGCCCTCATTTACCCATTCATACAGCACTCTACTGGATCTCTACAAAGCTAATCGAACAAATAATTCTAATGAGACTAATCAGTACTTTATCACATTCATACACTGATGGGACACACATCAGAGGCTATGAGGGGTTCAGTGTCTTGCCCAGGGACACTTCGACATGTGACTGCTGATGGATTCGAACCCCCAACGCTTGCATTGGAGGATGGCTGCTCTAACCATTCAGCCACAGCCACCCCACTAGACTGAGGAACAGCTTCTACCCTGAGGCTGTTAGACTCATGAATGTCTAACCAGGATTATCACTATGAAAAATCACATCATGTTGCTGCTGATCTGTTTCAATGTTGCTGTTGATCTGTTCAATGTTGATGTGTTTATGCGTGCTCAACTGTTCACACAGACTCATGTCATGTTCGTGCTGCTGTTCAGTGTAATGTTTTTATGTTATTAGTGCGTAGTGTATTTTAGTTTATGTTTTTCTTAGTTCATATCTTAGAGCTTATTACTGTTTTTTCTTATACATTTTATTGTTGGATGTAACTGGGACCCTGTGTACATAATTTCTCTCCACCACATGTACTACGTGTGGTGAGAATGACAATAAAGTATCTCTGAATCTGACTCTGATAAGTAAACATTTGATTCAATAACTATTTTCGAGAGCAAGAAGTAGTCTGATCAATAGCTCTCCTTGTATGAATAGAGCATGCTCTGCTTCCCTTATGCATCCTAGACACTCCCCACCCGGCATCAAAAACTGCCGGAACTAATGTAGCGCTAAGCTAGCGCCGCATAATACAGACACATTAGCTAAGATGCTACAGACGTAGCACTCCACTTCTCTCACACATCCTAATCCCCCACCTCTATCAACAACTGCCAACACTAATGTGGTGCTATGCTAGACTGCAAAACAGAGGTGTCTCCCCCTCCTCCCCCCTTAGCGCCCTGCCAAAGGATATAACTGAGGGGAAACTGTACATGGTGGGGAGTTGTTGTAGGTAACCAGGAAAACCTGGAGTGGATTTTTAGTGGTTTGAGTATTCTCCTATTAATCAAGTGAATTGGATTAGTTCAAGAAGAAATAGAAAGTGCTGGGTGAACTAATTGTAAATGTGGGGGAGTCGAATGAATATTTTTTTAATGTGGGGGGACACGCCCCTTTCACATTTAATTGTTGCGATGTCTATGTGTTCAGGTGTAAACATAATCTAAAATCCTATTTCTTATGTTAGATCAAAGTAACCCAGCAGAACACAGTCTTTTTTATGTCACCTCCCTTTAATGAAGCGAGTGCCTGAAATTCCAATGTCCAAGTTTTTCTGCTCTAAAGCCCAGTTTTTTTCAATCTGTCCAACTAACTTGTTCTTCTCAGCTCATTTCAGGTATTCATTGTTTTGTGTGTGTATGTGATGTGTATATGTTCTCAGGCATTTGCCAGCTAGTGAATAAAATGGATGAAGCGTGCAACAGCGTTAAGGCCTTCAACAGAAACGATGAGCAGTTCCTGGAGGCGTTTGCCATCTTCTGTGGCCTGGGCATTCAGAACACACAGATGTACGAAACAGTGGAGAGAGCCATGGCGAAGCAGGAGGTCACACTGGAGGTCAGCATCTGTTCACATCCACATAATTCATCATTGTTAGTTATTGTTGTGCAGTGAATGGACATGCTATTCAGTGGGTGGATATGATATTGTGCAGTAAGTTTGCATGGTAAAGTGTTAAACTGATTTACGGTGAGTTCACATGATAAAGGTGTGACATGGCATATTTGACATGGGGTGGGTGTGGCTGAGTGCTTAGAGCGGTCGTCCTCCAATGGGAGAGTTGGGGATTCGATTCCACCAGCAGTCACATATTAAAGTGTCCCTGGGCAAGACACTGCACATTTAGCACTGAACACAATTGCATTTTGATGTGCCATGAATTAGTGTTGTAGGTTGTTTTTTTTCAAACTTTTATTTAAATTTTCCATATTTTTTTCTTAACACAACATTTAAAGAAAAAACAAACAAACAGAAAAGCAACCTCCACTCTCAAAAAAAAGGACCAAGAAAAAAAACAAAAAAACAATCTTGCCAACATAGAAAACCAAAAAACAAAGAAATAGAGGGAGAAAGGGAACCTCCAGGAAAAAAAACAAACAAAAATATACCAACTACAAACCAGAAAAAGAGGAGGGAGAATAAATAAGTAAATAATACTAATGTCAACTGGTCTGGTACAGAGGAAAAGTTGGTTCATTTAGCCAACAGTTGCAATGGTTGCCAAATATGCGCAAATTGCTCAGTAGAGCCATGTAGTGTCATCCTGATTTTGAATGAATAACTTTGGCAGCTCGAGAGAGACTAGTTGGTCAAGAAGAGGAGCAATCCAGCTTGAGTCAAGTCAACAGTAGAAGTACCCTCCTAATAAATAATGTGCAGTTAGGTCTGGCAACCAGGGAGTGGGGAGTGGTGGTGCAGAGGTTAGAGAGGTGGGCCTGTGATCCGAAGATCGCCGGTTCACGCCCCGGCCCTGACAACATCAAAATTGTGGGTGGGGTAGGTGAAACACCCACACTTGCCCCCACCCTCGTTCGCCCCACTCTGGGGCCATGAGGGTGGGGGCACCATGAGCAAGGCCCTTAACCCCCACCATGTGCTCCCTAAACAGGTCTCTCTTGAAAATGAGTTCTCGTGGCTCAATGAGACTACCTGTATAAATAAAGGCTAAATGAAAAAAAAAACAAAAAAACTGAGAAAAAAAAGTTTCTGTAGAAAGCCTCCTCATCACAATTGGGTACATAAACGTTGGCTAGCACCACAGGTAAGCTCTGAATTGTCCCAACAGCAATAATATACCAGCCGTTTTGGTCTGAGATAATTTGATCAGAATGAAAAAGAACTGATTTGTGTAGAATGATGGCTGTACCTCTGGCCTTGGCGGAGAAAGATGAGTAAGAGACTTGGCCCACAGCCCCTCCCCAGCTTCAGGTGCTCTAAGTTTTTAAGATGGATTTATTGTAAAAAAACAAAACAAAAAGAAAACACCTTTGTTCCTAGCCGATGAAGGTGGTGCAGTACCTTGCCCCGTTTGTCAGGATTGTTGAGCCCTATGCAATTAAAACAGGCAAACTGGAGGCTCCCTCCTATCAGAAATGGAGACATAACAGAATTAAAAAGGTAACAAGCAATCTGAACATTGGGTTGACAAGTAAGGCAGGTAATGAATAAAGCATAAAAGAGAGATAGAGGTACAGCAACGTAAAAACCAAAACCAACATGAACAAAAAAAACCCCACAATGAACATTTCACAGAAGCATCCCCCCAAACGGGATGCGCAAAACCTCCCACCTCAAGCAAAAACACCCATGTGACCTTCAAAAGGCCCTAGAAGAGTTCTGTACACTACATTAAAAAAACCTTCTCCATGTGGAATGTGATTAATAGTAATTTGAAAGAACGCATCTCAACCGTATTACAACAAAGTAAAGACACCCTTTTTACTTTTACTTTTTTCTTAACAATCAGTCACCATATTAAAGGGAAAAAAAACAACCATGGCTACCAGTCCTCCAACATTTTAACAGTACAACAGTATTATTATTATTATTATAGGACCACAATGAGGAGATGTAAAGTCAGCTCCAGCTAAGAAATCAGCAGTACACAGTACACACTTGCCCCCGTACAGAAAAAAAACAACACACAAGTCTGGCAGTCATAAGTCCCGCCATTACAAACCAGTTCTTAAACGGACTCTGGGGCCCCGGTTTTTTTCTTCAGTTTCTTCTCCACAAAGTCTATGGCATTGGACGCCTCCTCGAATCGCTGAACCTGTCCATCTGGCAAAGTTATTCGCAGAATGCCTGGGTATAAAAGGCCAAAATTAACATTCGGGCAGGAGTGCAGCTCCTTCTTGACTTTAATAAAGGATGCACGTTTGTTTGCCACAGCGGTGGTAAAATCCGGAGGTCTTCTTCTCATCATAAAGAAGCGGAGCGGACATACCAGCCCTCCTCAAAATCTCGTTACATTGCTGGAGCATGTTTATTCTAACGACAAACGGGCGTGGCAATTCCCCATCAACAGGTCTTGGCCGAAGGATTCTGTGAGCCCGGTCCAATATTTTTTTTTTCCAGTCCCAACAACTTCTGTAATAAAGTGGCCATGAAATCCATCAGTCGAGTGCCCTCAGATCCCTCGGGGGCACCAATCACTCGTACATTATTCATTCTAGAGCGCCCTTCCAGGTCCTCATATTTCTTTGACAAAGAGTCCACCATGGCCGTAAGCAAAGCTACTGTAGCTTCCAAGCTAGTTAGCCTGTCGCTTTGTTCATTATCTTTGTGTTCAAGATCAGCAATAATATATTCACACTTTCACACATTCCGATTTCTTGGCATCCATATCTCTGCTGACCTTAACTGGAAAGCGAACAACACAGCAGTCATCAAGAAGGCTCAGCAGAGACTACACTTCTTAAGAGTACTTAGAAGCACAACCTGAACACCAAATTGCTGTTGACCTTCTACCGCTCGTCCATTGAGAGCCTGCTGACATACTGTATCTCAGTATGGTACGACAGCTGCACCCTGACTGACAGGGAGGCTTCAGAGAGTAGTCAAGACAGCACAAAATATAACTGGCTGCCCTCTCCCCTCCCTAATGGACATTTACACATCACACTGCCTCAGCAGAGCCGAAAGCATAATCAAGGTCAGTTCACACCCGGGTTTTGAACTGTTTGACTTGTGTGCTTCAGGGAAGCGCTACAGGTGCATCAGAACAAGAACAAACAGATTCAAGAACATCTAAAAAAGTTAAATCTGGTCCTCTGGACATTCAAAAAACAAAACAAAGCAAAACAACAAAAAAATGTAGAAAAGTTTCGTCTTTCATCCGAAAGACTTCCTCGGTCTGAGGTGCTGTATTCAGCTCAGTCTTATAAATAGCACCTTCTCAGAGTGGATCAACCAGTTTGCTGCTGACAACCAAAACCAGCTGCTCACATGATCATGAGTGCTTAGTGTATATTTAGTTGATGTTTTTCTTAGTTCATATCTTAGATGTTATTACTGTTTTTCTTATACATTTTATTGTTGGATGTAACTGGGACCCTGTGTACATAATTTCGCTCCACCACATGTACCACATGAGGTGCGAATGACAATAAAGAAACTATGACTCTGACTCTCTGGTCCACTGTGGCCTACCTTGGAGGTGACAGATTTCCCTCGGCTTGCCATGGTTCTGGGAGTTTACAATACTGAATCAGGCCCAGGTCACTCCAGGAAGTTAATATTAACTATAGGTGTCAAAGAAGTTTCAAAAAGTCATGCAAAACAAGGATATTTCACATTCTGGGAGAGCCACCAAAGATGTGTCTCACACACTGACGCTCCACCATTAGTGTTGTAGTTTTGGTAAATGGTAAATGAACTGTACTTCTATAGCACCTTTCTATCTAATCAAGATACTCAAAGCTCTTTACGGCACAATCTGTGTCCTCATTTACCTCCAACACATTCATACAGCTCACAACTAGATCTCTTCAAAGATAATCGGAGTCTGTAGAGACTAATCGGCGCTCTAGATCACATTCATACACCGATGGGACACACATTGGAGGCAATGAGGGGTTCAGTGTCTTGCCCAGGGACACTTCAACATGTGATTGCTGGCAGAATCGAAACCCCGACTCTCCCACTGGAGGAAGACTGCTCTAACCACTCAGCCACAGCTGTCCAGTTGACAGTGTAATAGTGGTAGTTGACAGTGAAACATCAAGGTTCAAGGTTCTCTATTGTCATTTGTATCACGTAGTAAAGGAAGTGAAACGAAATTGTGTACACAAGGTCCCAGTTTTTTCATTCAACATTTATTTAGACAGGTTAATCCCATTGAGCCTCAGGGACTCATTTACAAGAGAAACCTGATTTCTTAACAAAGAGTGATGACAACAGTGAGTAACAACTACAGTTACACCCCCAAAATAGCAAAAATATAAAGTATAAAACGAAACAGTATACGATGATCTAGGATATACGCTAAACAACTATAATGTAAAATAATGTTATACTGTATTAAACAGCAGCCTGAACTTGAATCTGTAGTCAGCATATGAGTATGAATACAGCAGCTTAAAGGCAAGAAATCACCAGCAGAGATAATCAGCAGCCCAGATAAGTCACATATCACCAATCAAAGTGGCATTACATTGATTTTTATTTTCCACAATGATAATTCTGATTAGGGATTCATGAGTCTAACAGCCTCAAGGTAGAAGCTGTTCCTCAGTCTAGTGGTTCTACACTTAATGCTCCTCAACCTCCTGCATGAGGGGAGCAGGGTAAAAAGTGTGTGTGCTGGGTGAGTGGGGTCCTTCATGATGCAGATGGCCCTCTTCCTGCATCTGGAGGTGTAGATGTCTGTGATGGTGGGAAGCTGACTCCAACAGACTTCTGTGCAGCCTTCACCACTCTCTGCAAAGCTTTTCTTTCTGTGGCTGTGCAGCCTCTATGCCACACATTGATGCTGGAGCACAGTATGCTCTCAACTGCACACCTGTAGAAGGAGGTGAGGACTGAACTTCCCAGACCAGCTTGCCTCAGCCGTTGGAAGAAGTAGAGTCTCTGATGAGCTTTCTTGATTAGGCTGGTAGTGTTGTTGCCCCAGCTGAGGTTGTTATTCAGGTGTACACCCAAGTACTTGTAGCTGGAGACCACTTCTACCGCAAATACTCCTATGTTCGCTGGGGGGCGGGGTAGGTATGATTGCACCTTCTGAAATCCACAATAATCTCCTTTGTCTTCTTCACATTGATGTGAAGGTTGTTCTTCTTGCACCAGCTCTCCAGGTGTTCCACCTCCTGCCTGTAGCTGGACTCGTTGTTTGTGATGCATCCAACCATCACTGTATCATCTGCAAAATTTACAGTATGGCAGCCTGGATGGGTAGATGTGCAGTCATATGTGAGCAGAGTGAACAGAAGGGGGCTCAACACGCAGCCCTGGGGGGAACCAGTGCTTAGGATTATTGTGGAGGAAGAGAAGTTGTGGATCCTCACAGACTGCAGTCTGTTTGTTAAGAAGGTTAAGAAGGTTGGTTGCTGCCTTATGAGACTGAAAGCTGTACCTAACTAAGTATTGTAAAAAATATATCAATCAGATCTTAGAGTAAAAAAAAAAAAATCCAAGGCCAAATGCAAGACGAAAGAGCTCTGTGATGCTGTGTGAGGTGACGACTAGTGATGCTTTCAGCTACGATTAAATTTGCTGCCTGAGTTTTCAGAAAAGTTTTAAAACAGGCACATTTGGCAAAGTTTCTTTCTGAAATAAACACAAACTTGTCCTGTATGTTTGAGCCTGGTTCTTCTCTGAACCAGCAGTGGATGTAATCAACATGCTGTGATTCAGCTAGTTCTTCAGTCTTCAGCGGTTCCTCTCAAACCAAAGTACATCTGGCATATGTAACATTAGTAACATTAGTAACATTAGCAACATTAGAATATTTAGTGACGTTCACAGGGCTCTCAACTTCATGAGTCCCAGAGGTTCTGTTGTTTGGAGTTTTGAACATGATAGTATCATCAATACACTTCAAGAGCACTAGAGCTTTATTTTGACACCTGCGTGGGAGCTCCACTCTTATAGAAAACATCTGAGACAAATATACATGTCTAAAAACCATACTAATAAGAATGAATAAATTAATTTTAAAAATGGTCCAAATCTGCGTATTTTAATTTCTATAGTGTATACCAGCAGATCAAATTATAAATGGACAGCTGGCTGAGCATAATGTGGGTGGCAAAAAAATTATGTGCACAGACAAAATTTCAGTTTTGCAAGCCATGCACACAGAAACATGTTGTTAGTTCAAAAACTGCTGGTTCAAAACATAGCCGTGTGTCTTGCTGGCCAAAAACACTCGATGTTCAGTGAGACTGCAGTGGACAATCATGTATTTTCTCACAATTTTGAGACACCCGACCACTGCAGCTCAGTGAGATACCACTTTAACAAGAGATCAGCTGTACAGAGATTGTCTGTTTTTGGACAGAGTGTCTGACCTCATCCTTATTTTGCACGTGTGTGTTTCAGGTCTTGTCGTATCACGCCACTGCCACAGAGGAAGAGTCCCGGGAAATCCAGGTAACAGCGGTAAATTGACATTTATTAATTTATCCACACAAACTCACTGTGCATGCTTACACACACACTGGCTTGTCCATCGTTGGCCAGGAAAAGTTTGTGTTGTTTTTTCAAATAAGTGGGGCCCTTTGGGTGGCTGAAGATTAATCTATGATGGCCAAGGACACCATTGCAATGGGTGGGTTCCAGTCCAGTTTTTCCACCATCTTTAAGAATAACATCACATAACCTTGTACAAAAGTTTGTTCCGTTCGTGTTAGCGTGAAGTGGTTGAGTTACCAGCTTGGCCTGATGTCAAGAGCCTCCCCCGGGTGTCAGAACGAGCCTGGATCATTTGGTATCTAGGACACAGGCTGGATTTTTTTTAGGTACATTGTCCCAAGAGACCATGACAGACACTTTGTGTGACACTCATGAAGATGAGTCATTATTAATGTTGTAGAAGCATCAAAGGTTAAAACTGGAGAAACTGCTTCTTCTGTCAAACTGCAGAGTGAATGCTGAGCGGGGAAAAGATTTGCTGAAATTTGCTGAGGAAGCTTTAGCTCATAATGATGAGTTGTTAAACATGAACAAGTACACAGAAGCTAAAATGAACAGAACACTAGCTAAAACCTCAAAGCAGAGGAACAATAGCTAAAATAAATAAAATAAGCTAAAGTTAAAATCAGCAAAACAGTAGCTAAAATTATAGAAAACAGATGCTATTATTGGCCTAATTTTATCCCCGAGGGGCAATTTGTTTCACAGTCAGTGGACATATAAAACATTCATACATGACAAGACATCAAAACTAGGGATGCACGATAATGGATTTTTGGCCGAGCTGCAGTGTGGGATCCTCTGCACTCCTGTGCATGAAGGACAGCCTTTTTAAATTCAAAGTTTTTGTCTATTCATTGTGCCATAAGACTAATCATGCTAACGGAGCTAACACGACATACAAATGTCTGTGGTAAAACTCAGCCAAGTGCTATTGGCTTTTAGCTTTTCAATGACGTCGGAAATGACAGATTGTAACTCAGGTAAGGCTACATCAGAAAAATATATCTGACTGGGGACGATGTAGCGAGGCTTAACGTAGTCCAGAAATCTTCGGAATCCAATATCCTAAACAAAAAAGTCCTTCCAAATCTCCGACATTTTGACTTCTTCCTCTCCGCCGTGAGACGAGGTAGACGAACGCGACATTATCACATTGTGCTGATGCTGCAGGCATCCTTATCACTGGGTTGTCATACAAAAACAGTGCCTTTTATATTGGTGAGTTATTTTGACAGAATGGCCGATATCCGATATTCAACTTTAACGCTAATATTGTCCAATACCGATACCATGCCGATAATATTGTGCATCCCTAATCAAAACACTAAAATAATACCATATAAACAATGATGGGCAGCTCATTTGGTAGAGCTGTTACCTCTCTGTGAGAAGATCACCAGATCAAATCCTGGCCAAGGGTCTTTCTGGGTGGAGTTTGCATGTTTTCTTCATGCATGCGTGGGTTTTCTCCAGGTACTCTGGTTTCCTCTCACAGACCAAAAACATGCATGTTAGGCTGATTGGTAAATCTAAATTGTCCCTAGGTGTGAGTGTGAATGGTTGTTTGTCTTGTCTCTATGTGTCCCTGTGATGGACTTGCGACCTGTCCATGGTGTCCTACGCCTCTCGCACAGTGACTGCTGGATATGGGCACCAGTGACCCCCGCAACCCAAACAGGAATAGGTGGGTAAAGATAAGGGCTGGAAGGATGGATGGGTGGAAGGATGGATGGATGGATGATTAGATGATGGATGGTTAACTGGATGGATGATTAGATGAATGGATGGATGGATGATTAGATGAATGGATGGTTGGATGGCTAGATGGATGTATGGATTATTAGAGGAATGGTGGATGGATGATTAGATTGATGGATGATTAGATAGATGGATAGATGGATGCTGGATGATGGACAATTAGATGGATGAATGGACAGACAATTGGATGGATGATTGATGGATGTATTAGATGAATGGTTGGACAGACAATAGATGATTAGATGCATGGCTGTCTGGATGGATAAACAATGGTAGATTTAATCTAAAAAGCAGAATAGCAGTTTGACTTCACACTAGCTAAATGATAGCTAAAAAAAAAAAAAAAAAAAAAGCCCAACATATCTAAATATAGAACAAGTCCAATTCAATTCAGTTTTATATAGCGCCAAATCACAACAAAGTTGTCTCAGGGCACTTTACAGAAACATTCACATACATAAAAGCCAATTAGTAAAGTTCTCTATCTAAAGAATCCAGCAGACAAGTTGAATCTTGGCTTTGTTGCAGTCTCCTATTCTGAGCAAGCACAGTGGCAATAGTGGAAAGGAAAAAAATCCCTTTTAAAAGGATTTAGCAAAAAGGAATGTCTTAAGCCTAGTTTTAAAACTGGATAATGTGTCAGCCTCACGGACAGAGATTGGAAGTTGGTTCCACAAGAGAGGAGCCTGATAACTGAAAGATCTGCCTCCCATTTTGTTTTTGTAAATTCTAGGAACCACAAGTAAACTTGCAGTCTAAGTGTGAAGTGCTCTGTTAGGAAAAAATGGAACAATAAGATCTGTAATATAAGATGGAGCCAGGTTGATGAGAGCTTTGTAGGTTAGAAGTAAGATTTTGAATTCTATTCTGGATTTGACAGGGAGCCAATGGAGAGAAACTAAAACTGGAGAAATATGATCTCTCCTACTAACTCCAGTTAAGACTCTGGCAGCAGCATTTTGGATCAACTGAAGACGTTTTAAGGAAGAATTTGGACATCCAGATAATAAACCATTGCAATAGTCCAGTCTAGACATGACAAATGCATGGACCAGTTTTTCTGCATCGTTTTTAGATAAGATGTTTCTAATTTTAGTGATATTACGCAGATGGAAGAAGGCAGTTCTAGTAATGTTTTTAATGTGGGGAATAAAAGACATGTCCTGATCAAAAATAACATCAAGATTTTTAACATTAGAGCTGGAGGACAGATTAATGCCATCTAAGAAGAGAGAAAGACTGAAAAATTCATTCCTAAGGTGCTCGGGTCCAAAAACCAAAACCTCAGTCTTGTCTGTGTTCAACAGGAGAAAATTAAGGGTCATCCAGGTTTTTATGTCTTTAAGACATGTTTGTAGTCTAAGTAGCTGACTGGATTCAATGGGTTTAATGGACAAATATAATTGTGTGTCATCAATGAACATTTATTTCATGCTGTTTAATAACTTTATCTAATGGAAGCATATATAGAGTAAAGAGTATTGGCCCAAGCACTGAGCCCTGAGGAACTCCATGACTAACTTTGGTGTATGAAGAAGATTTATTATTTACATTTACAAACTGGAATCTATCAGATAAATATGATTGAAACCATTTTAGAGCTGTTCCTGTAATGCCAATATCATATTCAAGCCTCTGTAGTAAAATATTGTGATCAGCTGTATCAAATGCAGCACTGAGGTCTAACAGGACCAGTAGAGACACAAGTCCATTGTCTGAGGCCATGAGAATATTATTAGTGACTTTTACTAGTGCTGTTTCTGTGCTATGATGAGCTCTAAACCCTGACTGAAACTCTTCAAACAGATTATTACTTTGTAGATGTTCATGCAACTGACCTGCAACTATTTTCTCTAGAATTTTTTTAGTTTAAAGTTAGAGTAGATATAGGTCTGTAGTTGGCCAGAATTTCTGAATCAAGATCAGACTTCTTATGTAAAGGTTTAATTACATCAACCTTAAAGCGCTGTGGTACATAACCATCCATTAAAGACAAATTAAGTAGATCCAAAATGTGGACATTAATTAGGGGAAATACCTCTTTAAACAGTCTGGTTGGGATGGGGTCTAGCAGACATGTGGATAGTTTGGATGAGGTTATTATTTTTGACAATTCAGAGAGTTCAACAGGACAAAAACTGTCCAAACATAAATCAGGCTCTAGTGAAATTTTTTAAGTTGCCTCATTTGACAGGGGACTAGAGATAGTAGAAGGAAGGATGGTTTGAATTTTCTCTGTAATTGAAATAATTTTATTAATAAAGAATCTCATGAAGTCCTCACTACTTATAGTTGTAGGGATACATGGTTCAACAGAAATGGGACTTTTAATTAGTCTAGCAATAGTACTAAACAGAAACCTAGGGTTATTTTTATTCTCCTCTATTAAAGATGAGTAATATAAAGTTCTAGCTTTACGGAGAGCTTTTTTATATGTTAGCAGACTATCTTTCCAAGTTAAATAAAATTCTTCAACATTAGTAGAGCGCCATTTTCTCTCCTGGTTTCTAGATGCCTGCTTTAAAGTACGTAACTCAGAATTGAACCAAGGAGCCAGTTTCCTCTGATTGATTACTTTCTTTTTCAGTGGAGCAATTTTATCAAGTGAAGTTTGCATTGAAGTTGTAAGATGATCAACTAGATGATCTAAGTCACTGTTCTCTGATGCATTACTCTGCAAGACAGAGGAAAACATTGATGGAAGAGATTGTTTAAAGTCTTAATAAAACTAGAAAAATAGATAAAAGTTTAAAATGGCAAAACAATAGCTAATGGCAAAAAGTAGCAGAACAGTAACTAAAAGTAGCAAAACAGCAGTTAAAAGCTAAAGACTGCAAAATGGTAGGTAAAACTTAAAAGAAGCGGAAAAGTAGCCCAAAGCTCAAGTAGTAGTGCACCCTGAGCTCCAGGTGACCCCTCGAGCTGGGGAGTCGTTGCATGACGGTCCGGTGTTTTTTCTCTCTCTCTCCGGACCCCAACGAACTACTTATCTGGACCTTTGTGGTTCTACCTGGTTCCAACAAAAATCGCTGTGTGGTATTTCGCTGGTTTTCTGCTGGACTGGCCCTCGTGGTGTCTTTATTGGTGTGGGGGAAGTGTACCTGTGTCCCCCGAACTGGACCAAAACCGAACCGAGTTGACTGTGGAGGACTTCATCTTTAACAGAGCTGGTCTCAGCTTCAGTGAGCAGCCCATTA